TGGGTGGGGTGAATGGGGTGGGTGGGTGGGTGGGTGGGTGGGTGGGTGGGTGGGTGGGTGGGTGGGTGGGTGGTGGTGGCGGGGGCGGTGGTGGCGGCGGCGGTAGCGGCACCGATAGCAACAGCAGTTCTAGCGGCAATGCCACCAGCAGCGGTAGCAGGATGGTAGCAGCAGAAGCACAGGCAGCAGCAGCAGTAGCGGTAGCAAAACGTTAGCCGCATGAGCAGCTTCCGCAGCGTTAGCAGCATGTGCTGCACGTGCTGCGTGTGCTGCGTCTGCTGCTGCTGCCGCTTCTGCTGCTGCTGCTGCTGCTGCTGCTGCCGCCGCCGCCGCCGCCGCTGCCGTCGCTTTAGGTGATGCTTGCAGCTAGCACTGCAAGTGCTGGTATCGCCAGTTCTAGCCAGCACCCTGGCCCCAAAGCACTAACCTGAAGTTCCGTTGCCCGGAGACTGATGACGCTCGGTGCCACTGTGGCTGTGGGCATCGACCGCAGAAGCTGCAAAGCCTGCTGCCAGTGGCCTGCGCGCCTGCAGCTTCCAGGTGTTGCTAAACTTAGCGCGAGATCCGGCTCTAATTTAACACCAGAATTATGTAGCATTCGTAGGGGTTTCTACCTATCGGCTTCGAGCAGCTGGGCTCCTTCTCTTGATCGTCGCTTCCAAATAGTTGCCCCAGTGCACAATACTCCTGCAAGGATTCCCCAAAAACCTCAACCCTAAACCCTAAACCCTAAACCCTAAGCTTACCAAGTCGCTGGCAGGCCCCCATCGCGGCATTGTAACCTGAGTCACGATCTGGAACTTGCCTACAGGCCTTTTTGTTTCAATCTCGTGTGCCTGAAGCCTAAAGTCTAGGGTTTAGGGTTTAGGGGGGGATAGAAACCTCCACCCCAAGCCCCTCTAACAAATGTGAAGCTGCTGATTGAGTTCGCGGCTATGGCGGCGCCAACCATGCTGAACCTTGCTGCGAGGATTCTCGGAGTTCTCTGTGGCTGGCATGTGCGGAGATTTGTGTTATGGCAGGGCTTCATCATGCACACGAACTTGGCCGGTAACCAAAGCCACCTCAACAAGCTGCATCAACATGATGAGGTGACATAAATGAAAGCAACCACTCCCTACTATCTGGAGCTCTCAAGCTACGGACGGCGCTCTGCTTCCAGGCGACAGCAGCTGCATCGCCAAAGGCCACCGCGAGGCCTGGCATAACAAAGGGGGCCTCTCTGTTCCTCTGGGGAGCGGTGCGGAGGCTCTCATGGTGAACTGCTTATAACCATAAGCAGAAGGGCAGACAGAGGGAGGGTGTGGTTGAGTTTCAGATGAAGGGGATCATCAGGGAAGAGTGTCGCATCTGTTGTGGTGGTGCTGTTGCATCTACCTAATCTACCTGCACACACTCTTCAGGCACGTCAAGATCCACCAGCACAGTTGAAATAACTGGCACGAACCAGGCTGTGGATCTGTCAAGCTTAGTAGCGGCTTAGAAACCACAAGGTGCACTGTCAAAACTTAATGGGTTTAAGGGTGCTTAAACCTGCAGTCCGATCGGCGGAAGACTGAACCTCGCGGGTCATTCTGGCCTTCTGGCACGAGCTGATGCACGAGTTGAAGCTGATGACGTCGGGAGCACAGGTCTCATCCGGCATGGCATCAAAAATCGACAGCCTCGGAGCGGGGTAAGCTCGAACTCACATAGCTCCCTTGGTCCAAAACCGTGGCGCCTCGGCCTCTTGCTCTTGACGGATGCCACATAAAAGACGATGGCATACGAAAGCACGGTGATAGTTCCTCCGGGAAACGCCTCCTCCCAACGACCGGCCTTCTCCAAAGCGCTAACGGTGGAGTTGAAGCCTTGTTCGCTGTGAGTCTTCAGGCCGCGGCTTCGGGAATGTTTTGGGGCCTTGTCAAGACGCAGTCAGCCCCTGCCGGAACGTAACCAGCCTACCTGCCCGAGGTTCAGAACTGAACAACCGCCTGAAGTCGTGAGAGACAGAGACAGCGGCAAAGAGAGAGAGAGAGAGAGAGNNAGAGAGAGAGAGACACAGAGAGAGACTGAGAAACAGAGGGACAGAAGGACAGACGGGCAGCTAGGCAAGCAGGCAGACAGACATGGACAGACGCAATTCACTGACCACCAAGTGAATATTTTGAAGACTCGGCCACATCGGGCCTTTCAGAGCCAGGATCTTGCAAGGATCCCATCAACACCCCAAAAGAAAAAGGGCGTGAGCGGCCGGGACACTGATGACGCCGGGCCTGTCGAGAGCAAGGGTGTCTAAGGACTGTCGGAGGGGTTTGTTCCCGGGACCTGGGTTCTCCAAGCTGCTCAGGGAGGCTCAGGGAGAAACCGGCGATCTGTCCCGATGCTTCAAATTCAGGCCTCAGCTTCGCCTCGGGCATCGCCGAGAAGAGGCGCAGGGCTTGCCTGTTGCTTTGAAGAGTTGCTGGCTTGAACGCCCACTCCCGGGTCTACAGACCGAAGATCCTCGCAGCTTGTGGCTTCCATGAACAACTCAATGGCTGATCACACGATACGAGTAATCAACACCGGGCTTAAAGAGCATCACANNCCCCCCCCCCCCCCCCCAAGATGCAGCCCGACACCTTGGAGACATAACTTACGGCCTTCAGCCTTGGCGAAGCTAAGCTGAGCACTGCCATAGCTGCTCCTTCCCGAAGGCAAGGATCGCTGTGTGGACCTATGGCTTGCACAGAGTAATCGGCGCCTTTCAGCTTGAGAAGATGTCAGAGGTCTGGGATAGGCTTTCGGGACTTGGGGGTTGCGTTTCTAGGGCCCAGGGCTAATTGTCTTCGTTCCTGGACTGCCAGGGCACTAGGACAGAGGGGGAGCCAAAAATAGCTCGACTTACCCATCGGCGACTTGAGCGGAAGCTTCCGAGAAGAGATCAGTTCTGGGCCACTTCGAGCCGTAACTGATGCATGCAGGCAGGGTGTAAGCGTTCCGGGTTCAGTCCTGCATGTGCTGATTCATGTAAGCGCCTGATGAACTCAAGGGGTCATGTAAGCCAGCAACACGAATCCTACAGAAAACCTTGCACCAATCTTCCCTTGGCATGAAGAGCCATGAAACGAAATGCAACTCGTCACTGCCAGGGATGCTGTTCCGGGTGTGGGGCGAGATTCTGCGGATTATCCTGGAACTAGCACTGCAGCTGGGCCTGCTCTGGCAACAAAGTCTACATCTACATCGCGCTCTGCCAAGCCACATGTTTCTTCCTTAGCGGCAATGTCTTCGGGGCCTGACGGGCTTTGACAACATATAGCTTCCCGCTAATGCACATTTTCTTCCCACAGCACACCTCCCCACAACAGTAGAACCTTGCCGTCTTCATCAGAAATCCTCGAAGAACCCATGCCCTGAGTCCTTGAGGAACCCTCCCCAGGCTACAGCCCTCTGGGAAGGGTTGACTGTTGGCACACTTGCAACGCAAACTCACAAGCCCAATGTGCCGCATTTCAAGACTCGAACCCATTCCTGCACGCAAGACCAAGGAAAAAACACACACACAGAGATGCGCACCAAGGCTTTTGTATTCTGCCTATGGGCCTTAAGGCATGCGTATGCCCAACCACTGCAGCAACTTGTAGCCCAAGCTTGCATGCTAGACCCAAAAACACAACTGGCCTCGCCAGCCCGCACCAGGTCGAGCACATGGCAGAAAGCCCCTGGCCTCCTGTGGAGTCTCGGAATCCTACATGCGGCGGGTCTGGCTTCCCTCCCTCCCTTTCTCCTTGTCTCTCCTCGCTCACTGTCTATCTCTCTCTCTCTCTCTCGCTCTCTCTCTCCAATTGTGATTATTTATGTATTTGTTTCTTTCTTTCTTTATGTATTTTTTGTTTCGTTCTTTCTGTATTTCTGGCTTTTTTCAGCGTTCTTTCTTTAGTCCTTTCTTTCTGTCTTTCGGTTCTTTATTTCGTTCTTTCTTTCTGTCTTTCCCTTCTTCCGGTGGGCGTAAGGGGTCGGCTCGCGACCCTCGGGCCTTCGAGGTCCCTTTCTTTCTTGCCGCAGGGCCAGAGAGATGTTCCCCCCTCCGCACCCCATGCGTGGAGTGAGACGCAAGATCCTAACAATTCCTGCCGAGTCTAAGGACCTCGAGCTTCTTCTTCTTCCCCCATGTTTCCGGGCCACTTGCTAATGGCACTGAAACGAATCGAGCCCCGCAAACTTCAAACATCACGTCTGAATAGCCTAACACAAGGGTGCCCAGTGCCATTCCATATTGGCTACCAGGGAACTCATCGGATTTCCGAGCCAGCGGCAAGGGCCTATCAAAAGAACCTCACCATCCAACATCACAAATACACTGTGCCCCTGTTTTCCTCCGGGGTCTTCTGTGTTCCGACCCGGAAACATCTACCATCTTGTGCCCCCCTGCCAGGTGGTTCTGTGCTACACCCTGGAGCTTTGCAGGCTTGGCTTATGCCCCGACTTTGTGTCGACGTCGAAGCGAATTTAAACCGCAGCAACTTGGAGCGACTTTTTGGACAAAGACGTTTCTGGTCTCACTGTAATTTTCCCGTGTGTTGTGTGGAGCAGTTCGCCCCTGGAAGCTTGGGCACTGGAAACGGGGGGCAAGGGGCAGGTGTGAGGCACAAGCCCCACACGGCCAAGAAAGGCGGGTCCTCAGATTGTCGCTCTCTTTCTCTCTCCCTCTCTGCCCTCCTCTCTCCCGCAGCGAAGTGCTTATGCCCAGACGGACATCGCGATCGTCGCAGCAACCATCCCTTCTCAGGATAGTACACACTGCCAAATCCAGGCCCGAGAAAAATCTTGAGACTGACTGACCAACCAAAGAAAACAACACCTCTCTAACACAATTGTTGACACTACCTCGCTCCCCCTGAAATTGTTTGAAACCCCTCTTCTCTTCAAGGCCTCTGCGCCAGTTCCTGCAAGGCCTGCAGGCCGACAGTGTAACTACTCTAATCATGGCACGAGCCTTTCAACAGCCACAATAATAACGATAAGAAGAACGACGAACGATGGTGATTGTGTAATGGTACTGGTACTGCTGAATGGCAACAGTAAGGATAAGCGTACTTGTAAAGAAGAGATAATGCATTGTAATGACACGCACTGAAAGAGTAGTTAATCATTCCACTACCAGTAGGATCAGGACGACTACCATCATCGTCATCATCAGCATCTTTTTTTTGTCTTTGTCGGCGCAACGTCTGTTCAACGCCTTGCGAGGCCGTAGCAGGACAGGCAAGTAGAAATTGCCCGGCTTCGTGGAGGGGCGCTATCAGTGAGGTTTGCCACGCAACGTTTATCCTGAAGTTTTAGGGGCTATGACTCGCTGTGATTTTGGTGAACATCGGCCAGGGAATCACTGATCGATTGGACTTTAGCGCTCGATACTTCGAGTGCCGGAAGGTGTGATCAATGTCCCACTAGGTCGGTTGCACGAGGTTGGGTACTCGACAAACTCGGTAGATTTCCACTCTCTGAGTCGCTTGAAGAAGATTCACGACCACAAGTCCGCAAACTACGCTCGTTGAGTCGACAGCCTCAAACATTGATCTGAAGAAATCAAACACTGCCACACACCACAACAAGGCAGCGATTGAATAAGCTACCAGGCCACATCACCAGCGAGAAAATCAAAAAATCTTGATCCTACCTTCATTCAGCACCCTCAGAGCTACCTGTGTCCTGAGCGTGTCAACCTACAGATTCGGCTGCCACCCCAACAAAGACATGCCGGCTGTCTTTCAACGAGCAAAGGCCCTCCGCTTACAAAGCACTTCAGACAAAGCACTTCAGAATGGCCTTCTTTCCCTCGGCACTCCGTGCACGAAGAAGGCCATCACCCCAAGAGGCCAGCGCCCGCTTTATACCTATCTTTGGGTTCTGGGCAGGGCTTTCCAGTTTGACACTCTGAGTCTAAAGGATTCGAAACTGAAAGTGCAACGTGAATCGCTGCCTGGCCCTCCGGACGAAACAGGGGATTGCACGCTTCCGTCTGACTGAATTACACATCGAGTGTGCATAAAACGCATATACACATATCCAAACATGTGGCGTGTCTTCTGTGCCTTTTCGAAATTGGATATGTAAGCAAGTACGTACGTATGTGTAGGCTTCCGTCATCTGCACACACATGCGCGCACACACACACACACACAAACTTTTACTGGCATCGCCAGTCGTGTGTTGCTGTTACAGCTCTAGTAAGCTAGAGTGCTGTCTTTTCCCTTGTCTGCATCTGTTTGTTTCTGCCTTGAAGACCATGTAGAGCCCGTAGAGCAGGGAGGTCAATAGTTGGCAAGCATTTCGGGCAAGAACTGCCAAGACCAACGTCAACCTCCAGCGCAAAACCTGCTACCGTCAACCCCAACTTCCTAAATCGGCGACCCAAGGTCCCATCCCCCATATCCCCTGCATGCTCCAGAAGCGTCCATCCCGGGAGACCGAAGCAGAGAGCAGCTCATTCATGCCGGAACACCCTTCAGGGCTTCAGGGCTGTGACACAGTGGGTTCGTAGGGTAGAGGTTTTTTCTGAAGCCAACAACCTTCATGGATTCCTCGCAGGGCGCTTTGTCGGGTCAACCGTTTACGAGGTGTGGCTCGAACCTGGCCTGGGCTCCCAAACCTCAGAACCCTCAAGCCGTCAAACCCAAATCACAGACCTCCAGTCTCGTGGGCATTCCGTCACTCTGATCCCGCGGGCGGCCACTAGCGGACACAAGCAGCCGCATCGCATCCAGCAACCCGAACCCACTTTGGGGCTCATACTTGCAGTTGTTCGGGTTCAAGGTTCACCGGTTGCAGGGAACTTTTGAGCATGAAACGATTCGCGCCAAGATGTACAGGTGTGAGCATCGAGAGTTTATCTTGAGAGGGGACTGTTGTGAGGTGGAGTTTTTGTGTTAGTTTGGAGAGTGTGCTGTGGGTGTGTGTGTGTGCTTTTAGTTTGGAG